TCTCACCCGACCTGTTCAACCTACATATATATATATATATATATATATATATATATATATATATATATATATATATATATATATATATTTAAAAATATGATTCCTCCGCTACATAAGAGTTCTCATGTTTCAAAAACAAGAGCTGAAACTTCAATATAATTATGAAACATGAGAACTTTTATGTAGCGGAATAATCATATTTTTAAATAAATAATTATTTTTAGGCTCTACTTTTGTATCGAGCACTGCGAGGCAATTCTGAGAGATTTAGCATTGGTGGCCACAAGCTTAACAACATAAGATACGCAGATGACACAGAACTGATAGCATACACAGAAATGAAATTACAAAACATCCTACAGAAGGTAGCGACGGAGAGTGAGAAGAAGGGACTAAGCATAAACTACGAGAAGACGGAGTGTATTGTCGTCAGTAAGAGGATGAGCTCGAAATGCGATATGAATGCCGGGAACAGTAGAATCAAGCAGACGGGGTTTAAATATCTGGGAAGCGTTTTGACAGAGGACGGTTAGTGCGACACTGAGATCCGTAGGCGTATTGGGATGGACAAGGACACTTTCCAAAAGCTGGGCAGAGTATTGCGAGACAGGAGGATATCTTTGGTAACAAAGAAAAGAATACTGAACTCTTACGTGACATCTATTCTTCTTTACGCCAGCGAATGTTGGACGATTTCCTCAAAGATGAAGAAGTAACTTGATGATGGATGCTAAGGATATCATGGACCGAGCGTGTGGTCAACGATGGGGTCTTAGATAGGTTACAAACAAGAAGGCAGTTGAATTTACTGGGCCACATAATGAGGAAAGAGGTCCTGAAGAATCTGCTACTCACAGGTCGAATAGAGTGAAAGAGCGACAAGGGAAAACATCGCGTGACATACCTGGCTGACTTAAGCAAGTGGATCACAGAATGTTGTCTGGGGTGTGGGGAAACAGAGGGAAGGAACTTGAGAGCTGCATGGGATAGAGGGAGGTGGAGAGACATGATCGCCTACGCCCTGAAAGGAGATGGCACATAAAAAGAAAGAGAGTAAGTTCGACTATCATTGGTTACCCCATACTTTCTAAATATTCTATTTATTCCCCATGATGTCAAGCAGAGCGCCTTCGTCGACTTCAGAAGATTCGACCGGTGCGTTTTTGATTGTTTATGCTATAATCACCCTGACAAAATCTGACAAAATAGTTTTTGAAAGTCCGAAGAGCCGAAGTTCGATTCAAATAAACCATTTGAGTGCCTCTTTTTTTGTCGCAGTTCCAAGGCTTACTCCTTTCCAAAACTCACAGCGCTTACTATGACGAAACTCCATCTTTAAGGCATTCATTTTTTAACAAAATGTCAGCATTTAACAAATTCTGACTGCAAACTGAATTTGCAAGATTTCAATCCAGAACACTCCCGAAATCTGCAACAAAACAAACGCCAGCGTCAAATTGCAGTCATTTTATATTAACAAGAAAGGAAGGAATTTTTGCGATGATATAATACAACGCTTTGTTTACGTTCATCTATTATTATTATTATTATTATTATTATTATTATTATTATTGGTTTATTCTCCACGATGCTAAGCAAAGCGTTGACGTCGGAAGGTCCCCCGGAGTGTGGTTAGTAAACACTTCGGTCAAAACCTTCGCATCTTTTCTGTTAATTCACCCCAAATAATCTAAAGTTACGTATCACAAATATGATTTCACCCCAAGAAATTATAATTTTTAAATCAAAATTCGTTTGTTTTTATGAAATTTTTGGCAATCTTTTGAAATTATAAATTTTAAATCAAAATTTGTTTAGTTTGCCTCGCAACAACTCCAACCCACAGAATTAAATATTTGCCAAAAATCAAGGAGTTATTCACATTTCGTAAGTGTGGATCATATTCGGGGCGCATACAAGGAATTTATTACAACTTAAAAAAAAGAAGTCCGTTTTGGGAATAATGGAAAGTCCTCGCTCTGGAAGTATGCCCGTGTTTGATTCAAAAATCGTACGATTCATACAGCAATCGCTATCACTTGACTTAAAATATTTTTGACCTTCCTTGTCTTTAAAGGTGTGCCCTTTGCCGTGCTAATGTTGCTACATGCCTTACTTCTTGCCTATCTCACACTGCGAATTTTTTCTAAGCTCTATACTAAACATTAAATCTGTTACGAAAAAAGAACTAAACAAAATGAACACAAAACGATCAGCTTTAAAAAAGGAACTCGTAACTGGAAAAACTGAATGAAAAAGAATGTTAACAACAAATACTTTTTCACAGCCAACCCAGTTCTGCGGAATCAGAATCAACGCTGAGTTTAAGCAAGCGAATGAGCCAATTGGAGTAAAGTGCCATGCAGATTTAAATTTTTCCCACTTGTGACGAATGCAGCTATCGATTATTTTTTTTTTTTTGCATGCTAGCATGCTAATTAACATTCGTGTCAATCAGCTGTTGGCTCTCGCGCTGGCGAATAGAATCTTCCAGCCTATTCGTCGCAGCCAGCTATAGGCTCTCACTCTGGTCAGTATAAAATGGCCGCAGAAAACTGCCGAAGAAGCATGAAAATATCGATTATTTCCACTATACATGGGAGTTGGGAAATGCAAAGTCGGTCTTGGCCTTCACGCTAACTTGGAGCATGTGCATGTAAATTTTGGTGCAAATCCGTCGAAAATTGCGACCGTGCATTCGTTACACACACACACACACACACACACACACACACACACACACACACACACACACACATCCTGCCTTTTATAGATAGAGATTTTTTTTATTATTATTTTGGTGTAAATTAACATTTTGGGGTTAATTAAGAGAAAAGATGAAAACTTTCGGTTTATTCTCCACGATGGCAAGCAGAGCGTCTTCATGGACGTCGGAAGGTCTCCTGGGGCGTGGTTGATCGTTTAGGTTAAAATCGCACTGCCGAAATCGGCTAAACGACATTTTGATCACGCTCCAAATAAATATTCTGTAAATAGTTTTTTTTTTTTTTTTGTCGCATTTCCGACGCTTAATTCCTTTCCGAAATTCATAGAACATAATATGGCGAAAGTGCAACATTTAATCGTCCATTTTTAAGGCATTCAAAAAACGTCAACATTCATCAATGTCTGATTGGAAACAGATCGATACAAAATTTCGATCAAGAACACAACAGAAATCGGCACTAAAATAAACGCCGGTGTTAAGTTGCAGTCATTTTATATTAACAATGAAAATCAGGTTCGAACTTTTGCAATGATCTGATATTTAAGAAAATGGCGGCTGTACGTTGAATAAATTAAATAAATACATGCTGGGCTCAGTTAACTTTGACACGAAGGTCATACACGAAGGATACTCTTTGAAGATAGAGCTTACTTTCAATAGCTTGTGCCTTTTCCTATTGCTCAATGAAAATCGGGCCCGAACTTTTGCAATGATCTGGTACAATGTAGAAGTTGCGAGTTGTATACTATGCAGTAAAAACAGAACCAGTGAATAAACGTATACCAATCCTTTATTACTCTTTACTGTGATTACTTGTCTACAATACAAACAGTGTGATTTTTATACCCCCTAGATATTAAGGGGAGATAACTGATGATTTATCAGTACAAACCAATTAAATGGTAAAGTAAGAATAAATATTGTCGGATTAAAATATATTTATTATAAAATATAAAATTTAATTACTTAGATTTGTTGTATATTTTTTTTGGGGGGGTGGGCGCTGGTTATCTTATTTGTATAAAGCAGTGGTTCTCACATTTTTTAAACTATGGACCCCTTCCCCCTTTTCTTCTCGATGGACCCATTAATAGCTATCTGACATTAGACAACAACATTCTAATTTTCACTAATAAAAATTCTGAGGTTTTATATAATCAAAGAAATATATAATTAAGTTTTATTTTTAATAAATAATTTTATAATAATAATAATAATAGTGAGTAATATTTCTTTCAAATAAGATTAATTTAACTTTAAATTTTCTAATTTTATTCAAATTAAGAGTCATATAATTTACTTTTGGAAGATTTTAAAAATCGATAAATTTGTTTTGTTTACAAATTTCTTAATCTTAAGAAAATGGCTCCTTTTAATAATTTTTTTAAAAAAGTCGAGCATGTCATTTCAATTCTGTTGATATTTATTTTACCAAAGCGTTCCCATTTTAAAGGCCATGTAAGTGATTGGAGATTAGATGATTATCATCCTTATAGACCAGTAGTCCTCAGCATTTCATTACCCATGGAGTTTCTTTATATCTGGTTCCATCGTTGTTAATGATAGGCGATGATCACCTCTTTTCACAATGTCAAATCTATTGTGAACTATTGATAACAGTTTAGAAACAAGACTAAATCCCGATTCAACAATATTACATCGAGCACTATTTTATTAGCGCCAGTTCTCCATGTGCGATATATATATATATATATATATATATATATATATATATATATATATATATATTATTGGTCGGAGTTGAATTAGGCTAGGAAATAGTAGTATTAAAACGTGCTCAATACAAGTATAAAGAAAGAAAGAAAATGAGAATTTGTCATGCAAACATATATATATATATATATATATATATATATATATATATATATATATATATATATTGTTTCTCATCTTTTATCTGGGAAGCATAATTGCTCTGTCTTGGCAGATTAGACATAGAGCACAGGTTATTACTGTTTAGATAACTGTTTGATTCTTGTCTCTTTTTGGGTGTATATATATATATATATATATATATATATATATATATATATATATATATATATATATCGTAAAATATTGTCGTGGAGCTGAAAAGTTAACAACTCTAACAATGTGGGATTCTCAAATTTCAGTAGAAATTCGTTATTAAACATCTACTCACATACTCCTACACACGCGCGCACACATATGCACGCATGCGCGCACACACACACACGACCCCTATATATATATATATATATATATATATATATATATATATATATATATATATATATATATATATATATATATATATATATATATATATATATATATATATATATATATATATATATATAAGTATATTTCGGCCGCAAGTATTCATCCAAATGTTTATAAGGTGTTGAACATTCTGCCCAAAATTAGAAATCTTTTTTCTACATCCTTGTATTCTTTGGGAAGCTGGAATTTTGAAACGATCTACACTGACATCATGTGTAAAAGCTATTCGGTCCGAGACTGCGCAAAAAGAATGCTATTTATTTATTTAAATAATGTTATTTATTTTATTTTATTTTATACTAATTTAATATATGCACACATTAAGTAAATTATTGCACTTCAACATACCATCTCTTGTAACAAATGGCATATTATTTAATATGGGCTTTTTATTTTGTATATTAAAGATACTTGCAGTTTTGTGTCATTACTTTCCTTGGCTGCTGCAGAGTATTTTGGTATTAGCCACTAATATTTTTTTCATGTTGATAGTTATGTTTTCATCGCTTATGTTATACTAGTCGAAGTCTGCAAGGATTGCATGTCATTTCGCATGGACAGGTCAGTCGGTGAGAGCGTGTGGTGTGTATGTGCTCGATGTAAGTCGTTAATTTTATTATTATTATTATTATTATTATTATTATTATTATTAGTGTTCTCATGACAGGGAGCCTGAGATTTCATAAATAATATTATTTTTTGCGTAGGGGGATTTTTGAGGTCCGGTGGTTTTATTAAATTAATTCATTACTTATTAATTAAATTACATTACTTTTCATAGTAAATGATACATCTTTGGTCTTTGTTAAAATCGCTAAGTGCGTTTATGTATAAACATATATTAGTATTACAAATTAAATGAAATAAAATGAATGAATAAATAGCGATCTTTTTATGTGACCGCTTTCCCAGTAGACGTTACACATGACGTCAGGCCACAGCATTGCACAGTACAAGCTTCCCAAAGAATGTAGACAAAGGCATTCTAAGTACCACACTGACATCACATTGGTCTTTGATAATGACGGCGATAATGGAAAGTACTAGAAGAAAATTAACTAAATATGAACTTCGAACTGTTTACCCAGAACTTCAAGCACAATACTCGACATGTTCTTCCGAAGATTGGAAAACTGTGATAAAAATTTAGGCAGGCAGAACTTATAAATTCTTTTTTATCTTGTTTCTGTCTATCTATCTATCTATCTATCTATATATATATATATATATATATATATATATATATATATATAGAGAGAGAGAGAGAGAGAGATAGAGAGAGAGAGAGATTCATTTATATATATTTATATATATATATATATATATATATATATATGAGTGAGTGTGTGTGTGTGCACATTTCATTGAATACGACAGAGAAGGTGCTTTGATTTAGTTTTTTTATACAATTTCTCATGTGATCTAATAATTTCATTTTTTTTCGGGTGATAAATTATATAAAAACCGTCCGAATGTTCCTTTAATCCGAGCGTTTTCGGATATACATTTAGCCATTTTCAAGGATGAAATATTTTAACTGCTAAATAATAAATAGTTTGTTGCATGTATATATTTATATAATGTCATCAGTCTTCAAAATACGGTCAAGATATTGTATCCATGTTCTTAGTTGATATTATTTAGTGTTGTTATTTGTTTAGTTTTTATTATTAAGGCTTCCATTATTTGAAGCACTTTTTTGCACGTAGATGATGCTATTATATTTGTGTTGTCAACAAGTATGTTACGAATAGGGTCCGTTAGGTCTCCATGAATATTTAAATGGGATCCAATTGAGCAATGGTCAGAAAGATTTAGTATGAGTCTTCGTGTCAATCATGTGGATGTATGGCCTATATAATTATTTACGAATTTTGATTGGTCAGGAATCGAACCTGTATCCTATAAGGAACCGTCATATAGCCTGAAGTGCGTTACCGATTTAGCCACAGAGGAGCATCCCTTATAGGATACACGTTCGATTCCTGTCGGAGGACGAATATTTTCTATGAATATTTCTCGGACTTTCAGGCCGGTAAATGTCATTACTACTGTTTATTATAAACAGAGCAATTATTTAAATATTTGTATCTATAAAAAAGAACGTATAATCATAAAATATGTCTTAAGATAATTGTCGGACATTTTCCATTTCACAAATTATATATATATATATATATATATATATATATATATATATATATTTGTGTGTGTGTGTGTGTGTGCGCGCGCGTGTGAGTGGATTCGGATCAAATACAAATCATTCTGCAGTCTTCGAATAATTTGATAGTTTTACTTCTGGTTTTTTTTTTTTTTTAAATAATGTCAAACTGTATGTAACTTATCCTTAGTTATCATTCATTTATTCATACAATCTTAGATTTCTGGCGGGAACGTAAACACGCATGCGCATTCTTATAGATAAATGTATCGTTTGGTAGAGTGTGATATATATCATTTTAATTGGAATTTTATAGATACGCTCACGGATTTTTATTTTGATACTGTTAAAAATAGAAAGTATCTATAAACGTGCTTATTTCAAAGCAAAATACATCTATACTTGACAAATCGCACATACATAGATAGATATATAGATAGAAACAGACGGAGACAGACAGACAGATAGATAGATAGATAGATAGATAGATAGATAGATAGATAGATAGATAGAACATGAACAGATAGATAGAGAGATAGATAGAGAGATAGATAGATATGAACAGTCACATAGATAGATAGATAGATAGATAGATAGATAGAACAGAATAAGCTAGATAGATAGATAGATAGATAGATAGATAGATAGATAGATATAAAACAGACGGAGATAGATAGATAGATAGATAGATATGATGAACAGTCACATAGATAGATAGATAGATAGATAGATAGATAGATAGATAGATAGATAGATAGATATGAACAGTCACATAGATAGATAGATAGATAGATAGATAGATAGATAGATAGATAGATAGATATAAATAAACAGACGGAGACAGATAGATAGTTAAATAGATAGAACAGACTGAAATAGATAGATAGATAGATAGATAGATAGATAGATAGATAGATAGATGCCAGTTGAATATAAAAATCAGCCCAGCCTGTTAACGGTCAGTTACACCTATATACTTTCTATCACCAATATTGTGTGGTCTACCCCCACCATACACACAAATAATATAAATTCTAAAGTCTCTTTCTCCTCTTCTCTCTCTCTCTCTCTCTCTCTTTATATATATATATATATATATATATATATGAAGAAATTTAGTTTTAAGGTGTGCTATATTTATGGGATAAAGTGCTCAATATCAGAGATAGAACGTATGTAAGTATAAATATGAACGTGAACAATTAAGTCAACATTCAGCAGCGACGGCTGTTTCATGCTTGACACAATCGTCTAACCACCTTATATAGGAACATATAAATATCTAAATAAATATGTTAAAATGTTTAAATGATTTGTAGTTGGTTTGGGATTTGCAGTTCTGCCCAGATCAACATTTAAGATTGAAAATAAGTTGGAAATCAGAAATATGAATTCTAAATTAGTCGTTCCTGATTGTACAACTCACGGTAAATGTAAGAGTCAATAAACAAATCAAAAATAAAAATAACAGTTATAAACTAAAAATGGTAGCGATAAGGTAATGGAAAAATGGAATGACAAAAAATTTAAATGCGTTATAGTCTAATATTAACAATAGTTGTACAATAAATATATCCAGAAAGAAAAGAAAAAAAAATATAAAATTATTGATATCAATAATAGCAAATCTGGATGCCCGGTTCGGCTAGACTATGTTTATCGCCAAAACTACAAAATTTACGTTGAATGTAACAAAATTTCTGCTAATAAACTGCTCTGTCTATGACCAGAGCGATAATAAATATTTAAATTTACAAACACAAGATGATCATTTGCTTTCTCAGTTGTTGTGAAAAGCTTGTTATAGAGTCAGTTATGAACGGAGAAATTAAATTTGAAAGTTAGTTACAGTCAGTCTTGTTAAGAGTTCGGATGAGTGATTAAAAAAATCCGAAGCCCGGAGTTGAGCTTCGATAAGTTTAGAAAATGTTCGCTCCTATTTTAATACTACTACTACTACTACTACTACTACTACTACTACTACTACTACTACTACTAATAATAATAATAATAATAATAATAATACACAGAGAGAACAATCAAAGCTAATCGCACAGACATAATGACCAAAGACCACAAAAAGAGAATGTGCCTTCTTATTGACATGACAGTCCCTGCAGATTGTAATATATCAAAATACAATGATCTTGAAATGGAAATCGAAAAAATCTTGAACATGAGGACATCAATAATTCCTGGAACCTTCGTATTGACTGGAAAGAATTCCGATAGACTGATTAAACGAATTCCTGGTAGACCATGTCTAACTGAAATACCCCCAAAATTGTACTCACAAGTGCAGCTTACACACTACGAAAAGCTTTATCTGTGTAAAATGTGTGTGACCTTAGTTTTTATTTATTTATTTATTTTACGAAATTGATCAGTGGGAAATATCATGAAGCCATTTCTGACCTTACGTATCTGGTTGAGTCCCGGTAGAAAATGTTTATACAGGTACAGCAAAAACAAAGGAATAATAATATATATATATATATATATATATATATATATATATATATATATATATATATTAAACACATTTTATGTTAAACGTTCTTTTATAGATACAAGTATTTAAGTAAATGCTCTGTTTATAATAAACAGTATCAAATAACATTTACCGGCCTGAAATACTTAAATATATATATATAATATGTGAAAATATATAGAAAATAGGAAGGAACTGATTAGGTAAATAATCCAAAGTTCCTTAGTATTTTAGTTATTATTTTTTTAAAAATAGTGCTCGATACAAAAGTAGAGCATAAAACACGTAAATTTCAGAAATACGTTATTCCAAAAAATTTCGCTTGAAGATGGAACAGAGCTTACTTTAACTCAATTTAATTCAAATAATTATATTGAAGTTTTCGGCTCTTGTTTTGAAACATGAGACCTCTTATGTCGCGAGTTGGAATCATATTTTTTAAATAAATAATTATATATATATATATATATATATATATATATATATATATATATATATATATATAAGTACTGGGAATAAAAATTTTCTTTCTTCGCTTAATAAAGATACTGAGAAACTCGTCTGTAAATATGAGATGATCCTATTAAGAATAAGTAGACAAAATGAAAACCTGCTGCAATACTGCAATTGCATCCTGCAATATATATATATATATATATATATATATATATATATATATATATATATATATATATATATATTGCGTATATGTTGATGTATATCCATTTTATTCCCCAGTACTTTCGACATTAACACAATGCCATCTTCAGGGTCTTAATTTTATGAAGTGAAAATTGCTGTGTTCATTTTAATATTTTTTTTTTCTTTGTAACGTGAAAAACGCTAAACAATGTACTGTACAATTTTTAAATATTATGATGTAAACATACACGCAGTAACGCCAAGGGAGCTATTGAGATGCCTATTTTTAAAACCTTTCCAAGCCTGTGAAAAGCATCAAGCGTATGGCCGGTTTTCAAGAATACGGCCGTGCAAGTTTCCCGCTGCCAGCACAGATCCATCAGTATCATCAGTAATCTTTTTGAGGCCATAATCAATAAGAAGGTTGTCGAGGACCTAGAAAAAAACAAACTCTTCATCGACGAGCAGTATGAGTTTCGTTCGCTCCGATCCACTGCTGATGTTTTAACACCCATCACTCACAGAATCAGTGAGCCTCATGACGACAAACACACCTCGAGGACTATAGTACTAGATATCTCAAAGGCCTTCGACAATGTGAGGCATAAATGTTTACTATACAAGCTCTTCAGTTATGGAATCACTGAAAGGTACCTCCTTGAAGGAAGTTATTAATGAACAGTTCTCCAGTGGCCTAGCAGTCAACACAGGCGTTCCACAGAGGTCACTTCTTGGAATAACCTTGTTTTTTATGTATATAAATGATCTGCCTAAGAATATACTCAGATCTTTTGTGAACATCTATGCCGACAATGCGACTATATACGGGTGATCTCTAAAACTCTCGGTGGCCAGAGATTGGCAACTGATCTCTCATCCGGTCTTGTACAAACTACCCTGTGTGGTTATATTCAATTCCTCGAAGACCAAGCTAGTTAAGTTCCATCAACGCCGGAACTACCACCAATCAAGATGAGTTCCTCGCGGAGAATCACTGTGTCTTGAAAGACAGTTGGGCCTCAAGCTTATACCCAACTTCAACGATCAGTTAAAATGGTCGGCTTCCTGTGCCGTTCTAATAAAAACCTGACTCCCCTACCCTAACAAGAGCCATATCAGGCCAAAAATAGAGTACTGTTGTTATATCTGGGTGGGAGTTGCCAGAACATCACTCTCCAGCCTTTAACTAGTTCAAAACGTCCCCGTGTCCTTGTGGGTGACGAATTATTCTCCAACATCAACCCTCTCCCACAGGCGTGATGTAGCAAGATCCCAGCAGCTGTAATGCTATTTCCATGGAAAGTGTTCGGACGAACTGCATTCCCTGGTTTTTGGAATTTTTTCGTCCTGTTTATAATTAGAATGTATTTGATTTCTTTATAAAAGATTAATATATTTAGGATTATTTCTATTTGCTTTATATTAAAGTTTCTAATGAAACGCTTTATTTGCTCGTCGACAATAAAATTAGAGTAGTTATTATTAATAAGAGTGTTATTTATATTTTTTTTAGTTCACTGTAGAAAATTTGTTTTGTGGATGAGTTAATTTTTGCTTAATTATTTAGATTTTTTACAATTGTTATTTTATAGTAATTTGGACATTCACTCTTATAATTAAGTATTGAAGTACTTACTAGTAGTTTTTTTATTAGTTTTTATATGGGGAGATAATGAATTTATTATTATTAGTGTTTATCAATATATCTAGAAAAAGAATTGTATTACTATTATTAAGTTCGTATATAAATTCATGGAAGAATTATTTTGGAATTGTTTTGGGATTTGATATATTCCATCCATAATCCTAAGATAGGGATACCATCGACATATATTAGATAGATGCTTTTTTTTTTTTAAAGTGGTGCAACTGGTAAGGCAAAAACTGTTTGTAGGTATCCATTATTGAATTTATTTTCTTTTTGCGTTTAAATGCAACAGCTGACAGTTACGTTGATGATCTCAGAAAGAGATGGAAAGTACTTGGGAATTGAAAGTGCTTTTCACTGTTACAGTGCATTTCTTACCTCATTTGATTGTCATACACGGAAAAAATATTCGTGAATATGAAAGGATTATGCTAAAAATAAGCAGACATAATGTTTGTAATTTATTTAATCACACGTGCCTAAAAGAGAAATTGCTGCCTAAATACGCACACACACACACACACACACACACACACACACACACATATATATATATATATATATATAATATATTTTATATAAAACATTTTTCTAAAAATAAGAAAAAAACAAATAAAAAAACTGCATGACAGATGTAAGATTTTACGACCACTATGGAAACATTTATACAGAATATAACGGCGTACCGACGTGTTTGACACTTGGACATACTCTATCTAATTTCTACATGTGTCATGGGGAAAAAATGTCTTCAGTAATTCCACGAAGCCTCCACCACCGACAAACACACCATATACTCAGGCTATATCGACGACATACTCATATTAGCAAACAGCTTAGTAGAAATTGAAAGAAAATGAAGGAAACTTTTGATTATAATTCTGTGCTACACTTACAAACACAATATTAACAATAAAATCCCTTTCATTACGTATGAATCGATGCCAACAGTCATATAACTTTGCCACATCCATTTACAAAGAAAGAACAACTAGCAGAACTTCGTGTTTACTTAGCTATAAAAGTGAATATCCTCACAAATTAAAAATAGATGCTATAAAATATTGGATTTACCGAGCCAAATTAATCTCTTCTTCTGATATATTATTCTATAAGGATCTTAGCAATATTAAAACAAACTCTAATCAACATAAATTTCCTGAACCACGTCATTTTTGAACAAAGAAAATTAGCCTTAACAAAATTTAGAAAAAAATTACACCAGACACCACCATGACGCGAAGAAAAATAAACACACCATTAACTTTATTCTATCGTAACCAAATGAAAATTAAAAATGAACAAATAAAATTAGTCACCTTAAAACGAATAAACACACTATTAACTTTCTTCTGCAGCCTAATTATAAATAGGCTGAAAAAGCAATTAAAATTCATCGCTACATATCAATCAATGATCTTAGCAAACACCTAAGATTTATCATCTACTACAATAAGTTTAAAATATCTAAATCATATATATATATATATATATATATATATATATATATACGAGGTATATTTAGGCAGCAAGTATTCATCATCATATATATATATATATATATATATATATATATATATATATATATATGAGCCGTTGTTTTCCTATCGTCCGGTTCAAATTCCACACCCAGTCTTTTGAAGTGAAGCTGATGTTTATCAAATGTTTTCCTACTCTATAATTTGATTTTCAGTCCCTTCTGAAGTCATATCATTCTGTTTCAGAAACTATATATATTAGATCCGTTAGTGTCAGTTGAAAAGCTTTTCCAACACACACACATCACGCAAACACACACAAATATATATATATATATATATATATATATATATATATATATATATATATCAATGAAAAGTGCATATAAAAAAAATAAAAATCTAGAAGTATAAGCAGTTAATTGTTGATATCCGCTGAAGAGTGGATGCTGCAATCCCCGGTGTTTCCGTCTACGAATCTCCGGAATCGGCATAGTGAAGCTAGCATCAATCAGCTAAGTATCGAACCTATTACTTATATTAACTATGTCCCTCTCTCTCGCTCGTTTTCACCTGAAGATACTTAAATGTTGAAACAAAGGTAGCATGATCGGCTTATTTCCTAATATTTTTTTTTAATTTCAAACGCTTTGAATGATAAATTTTCATTTTATTTTATTTTCTTTATACTTGTATTGAGCACGTTTTAATGCTACTGTTTCCTAGCCTAACTCAGCTCTGACCAGTAATATATATATATATATATATATATATATATATATATATATATATAAGCAAATATATGGATATAGATCCGACAATATGAAGAAAAATATACAGAGAAAACAAACAAAAAACTTAATATATAATTATGCTGTATTAGTGTTAATATAAGTCAACGACGGACGTTTCGGTCTATTTTAGACCATCATCAGGGCTTATTTATAAAACATTATTATATGTTCTAATGTTAATATTGTTTTATAAATAAGTCCTGATGATGGTCTAAAATAGACCGAAACGTCCGACGTTGACTTTATATTAACATTAATACAGCATAATTATATATTAAGATTTTTGTTTGTTTTTTCTGTATATTTTTCTTCATATATATATATATATATATATATATATATATATCGCACATGGAGAACTGGCACTAATAAAATAGGGCTCGATGTAATGTTTGTGTGTCTATGTGTGATAAAAATGTTAAACATAAGCAGAAAAAAGCAAGATGAATATTTAATTTCAATATATACATATATCTATTTTATTTATATATGTAATTTTTACACATAAGCACACATAAACATACAGAGAGAGAGAAGAGAGAGAGAGAGAGGGAGAGAGATGGAAAATGCTATTAGTTTGTCTCATATAAATCATTCACAATGCAGCGTTGATTACTATGTACACAATTTCCATTTGTAAACGCTCTACCTCTGATATCGAGCACTGTTCTCTCATAAATAAAATCAAACCTTTATATATATATATATATATATATATATATATATATATATATATATGTTTGTGAATACGTGTTTCTGTGTAAAATGGATAGATATTTAAATAGATATTCAT